CAGTCTTTTAATTCAACGAGTCCTTCAATGGAACTCTCTTCCTCTCTCACACCCTTCTCAAACAAACTCTCCGAAATCTCCTTCTCTTCATCTCTCTCTCCCTTCTCACTTCAACTCCACCAAAAACCATCAAAACCCAGAAATTTCTGTATTTTCGCTGTTGCTATAGACCCACCGCAAGAACTTCCCAGAAACAGCCCGCAAAGACTCCTGAAAGAGCTAGCCCAACGTAAAAAGGCTACTGCTCCAAGGAAAAAACTACCTCCGAAAAGGTTCATATTAAAACCTCCACTTGATGACAAAAAATTGACAGAAAGATTCCTAAACAGCCCACAATTATCCTTAAAACAATTCCCTTTGTTAAGCTCTTGCTTGCCTTCTTCGAAGCTTAACAATGCGGACAATACTTGGATAGATGAGTATTTGCTTGAAGCTAAGCAGGCTTTGGGGTACCCTTTGGAGAAATCTGATGAGCTGGGAGATGATAATCCGGCGAAACAGTTTGATACTTTATTGTATTTGGCGTTTCAGCATCCTTCTTGTGATAGGACTAATGCCAGGCACGTCAGGTCCGCGCATTCCAGGCTTTGGTTTTTGGGCCAGTATGTACTGGAATTGGCACTGGCGGAATTTTTGTTGCAGAGGTATCCGAGGGAGTCGCCGGGACCCATGAGGGAAAGAGTGTTTGGTTTGATTGGGAAGAGGAATTTGCCTAAGTGGATTAAAGCGGCTAGCTTGCGGAATTTGATTTTTCCTTATGATGATATGGATAAGTTAATTAGGAAAGACAGGGAACCGCCTGTGAAGTAAGATTTTCTTCTGTTTATAATTTGATGAATAATATGCATAACAGATACTGATGTGTAGGATTCACAGATCCATTCAATGTTGTATGCTAGTTTAAACTTGAGGTTGAGGGTACATTAGGGCAGGTCATTTGATTGTATTTCAAGTTATAATATGTGGAATTAAGTCTATGTTTTTATCTGAAATGAGGTGCTGCATTTTCATTTTGGCAATTGGTGCTCTTAATTTTAGTGTCACATACCATGGCATGGAAATAAGACCATTGAAGGCTCCTTGCTTTCAACTATCATGTTTTGGCCTGTCTTTTAGTTGCCTGCAATTTTTCTACCTTCTAAGTGTCATTATATAATTAGAATTTTAAGTTCTTCAATCTATGATAGGTTAACTGAGGACTTACTCTTATGCGTTTTTGTTTTTGGTTTGGACTTCGGATGCTATGCTTTGGCAAACTAAACATCAATTTGCAATAGGCACATTCTTCTGTTGTTTGGTGGTTGCCATCTTCCTGATTGGCTACCGAATCTTCATTGCATTGTGATTCAACAATTGATGCATGTGATGAAAAAAGACTACCATACTTGTTGGGGAAAGGAGATGTACATGGTTGGAATTTAGCTACTCTTTTGTTGCAGCTGCGCTTGAGCAAACATATATCTCGATTCTTGAATATTTCATTGTTGAAGCCCTAACTTGCTTAAACACACTGCATCTTAGTGAGTAGTGCACTAGGTTTGTTGTGTGCTATTGATAAAAGAGAAGAGTCAAGTTGGAGCCATATGATGGGACTGCTGTCACTGTGATAATAAGTTGACTGTAGTAGGATGGGGGTGGTCACTATTATTATGCATATTCTTTCTGTGTTATCTGCTAGTGATGAAGCTACCAAATGAACTTGTATTTGTTGGCACCAAACATGCTTTACTCTTATTCAAATGCTCTGTTATGTGAAATTGAGCAAGTGGTTCTGCGCATTGAACAATTCGTTTGACTATGATCGTTTCGTTAGGATGTATAATATATTGGAGATAGTTGGGTAACTCATGATCCCAAAAGCTTAAGTTGATGGCATATGTCTCAAATGTCATATTTAAGTTCTAAGAACAAATTGCATGGCTGGAATAACATCAGGACGGAGAAGACCTGAAAGCTCAGAAGTTATGGAACTTTGCTAATATCAGTGTCAACAATACAGTAAAAATGTCAGGGTAGGGGTAGGAAAGCTGATAGATACTTTTTATTGCAATAGTTAGGTGGCTGATATATAACTTGTATCTTGATTGTTAATATGTGCCAGTGAGTCTTAGCTTACTGGCAGGATGTGTTTTTTTTCCTATTAGAAAAACTTAAACATGGATAGATAATGTCATGCTGCACGTATGTATCCAATACATGTGAGCATCTTGGGAGCTCCTATCACTTGATGCATTAGGTGGTGGCATAGTGAGATATCCGTCGTATACTAATTATGCATACATATTGACTACTAATTTATGTCCTTATGGCCAGGTCTGTCTTTTGGGCTTTGTTTGGGGCAATATACTTATGTTTTGGTATGCCAGAAGTGTATCGTGTTCTTTTTGAAGTATTTGGAATGGATCCAGAAGCTGAGGTCTGTCAGCCACGGTTAAGGAGACAACTTGAAGATGTAGATTATGTTTCTGTTGAATTTGAAGGGAATAAGCTCAGTTGGCAAGATGTTGCTACTTATAAGGCAAGCTTTGATTTGTTCTCCTTCATTTGTAGATAGCTTATGAGTTAAAATGGAAAAACTGAAAGCGGGAGTAAAAAGAAAAGAAAATAGGTGTTTGACTAGGATTATGTTTTAGAGCAACCTTTCTCTGTAAAAGGGCCTGGAGAAGCATTTCATTCACATTGAAATTGTAGGGAAACTTAACCTAATTCGTTTTTCTTTACAGCCACCTGAAGATGCTCTCTTTGCACATCCAAGACTCTTCAGGGCTTGTGTGCCACCAGGTATGCATCGGTTTCGGGGAAATATCTGGGATTATGACAGCAAGCCGCAAGTTATGCAGATACTAGGATATCCCTTGGCAGTTAAGGATAGAATTCCTGAAATTACTGAAGCAAGGAACATTGAACTCGGACTTGGGCTTCAGGTAATTTGACTGTTTAGTCTGTCATGAATGTATATCGGGCGTTTATTTTCATAAATATTTTTGCTTGTTTATTCTCATTCTCTAGATCCAAGTTACTCATCTTTCTCCTGCTTGATCTGAGTTTTGTTTGATTCCTAAGTTTTTGTTCCATTTCTGGGATTACAGCTTTGTTTTATGCATCCGTCAAAATACAAGTTTGAACATCCTCGGTTTTGCTTTGAGCGGTTGGAATATGTTGGCCAAAAGATCCAGGTAATGGTTTCTTCTGTGTTGGACATATGTTTTGGCCTTTTTTAGCAACAATAAATACCCTGTTTATTAAACCTGTCTTTCCTTTCTATTTGGTACGACACTTGGAAGAAAAAGAAGGATATGGGGCAAAATCTTTTTGGGTAACTGAATCTGATAGTTGTCTGTTTTGAAATTCTTTAGGATCTTGTTATGGCTGAGAGGTTGCTGATGAAGCATCTAGATGCCCCTGGAAAATGGCTACAAGAGAGGCATCGCCGTGTTCTTATGAACAAGTTCTGCGGGAGGTATTTGAGGGAAAAATATCTCCATCGTTTTATCATCTACTCGGAGCAGGTTCAAGATGCATATGAGCACAATCGAAGACTCAGAAATCCTGCCACAACTGCTGTTCAACAAGCCCTCCATGGCCTTTCATACACTATCTATGGGAAGCCAGATGTGAGGCGCTTAATGTTTGACGTTTTCGACTTCGAGCAAATTCAACCCAAGTCTGTGTAAATAAATATCTTCGATTCTACAATGGAATGTACCGCAAAGCTACAAACTGTCGTAATTGTAATGCATTTTTTCCCCCGTTATTGCTTTTTTCTTTTCATGATACAAAGGAAGTCTGGAAGTGAGAATATGAAAAATGACGGTTAATGTCAAGAATTAAACTTAAAATTTATTAAATATATTTTTTAAATGTGATTGTGTAAAATAATCGATCTAATTGCGAGTTCATATTATTGCTTATGTGACTGTCAATCTCATGTAAGGAACAATCACATTCTTAGGTCCCATTTGGATTTTATCACAGCCATGGTGAGATGAGAAAGATGCTTGTAATCGTATTATTTCTTTGTTTGGATAGCAAATGTGCGGTGGTGATTTATCGTGCTATACCTCCAGACATGTATTGGACTCTCATAGGTCCAGTGAAAAAACAAACGCAAGGATTTTTTTTTTTCAATTTTTATATTTTTCAACTCTTTTTTTTTTTAATTTTTGTATTTAAAAGCTTTTACAATGTCTTTTTTTGATAAAATCACATTGTTTTTTATTATTTATTATATGGTATAAAAATAACTTTTTAAAATAATTTTATTAATTTTATAAATATTAAATAATTTAAATTTTTATTACATATGAATTTTAATTTAATATCTTTTATAATAATTTTTTTTCAATTATAATTCATCTCATCATTAATATTACATTTATATCTAAACACATTTTTATTCTTAATTTTAATTTAACTATTATAATAATTAATTTTACCTTTATTATTATTTTTAATTTCACAAAAATTAATTTTATTAACCGTTGAAATAGACCTTTAGTCATATTTTGTACCCTTACTAGAAGTAATAAAAATCTCTTTCGGTTGAAAAGATTGGTATCCTAGATTTTTAAATAGTGAAAGTAAGGTTAGTTGCGCAAAGACCAAAATACTCTCATCTATAAAAATATTAAGCTTAAATAAAACAAAAGTCTATGAACTAAAACATTTATATATGAATTTCCTTTTTCTTTTTGGTTAAAAAAAGTATTAAAATCAGAACAATTTTTTAAAATTATTAATTTACCTTTGAACTTTATGTTTTTATATGTTTTATACTCTTTATTTTTATACATATGTTACTGAAAAAATATTTAAATTTATAATTTTTAAATATAAATTCCAATATCATATGGAAAGATAAGAACGTTAGGAAAAAATCAGAGCAAACTTAAAAAGGAAAGAAAAACAAAAATCTTACAAAACTTTCCACCAATCCAATAAGAAGCTGCCACATCACTAGATTATCCACTCACACCCCGACATTTCAGTTCCCAACACCATTACACACCAAAAAAAATCCCCTTCCAAACTCCCTTCTGATATTTCCAAAACAAAAAGGGTCAGGTCTGGTCAGGTCAGGTCCCAGCTCAGGTCATCGCAGCAAATAAAGGCGCACCCAACCCACCCTCACCCATTCCCTTTGTTCCCTCAAAACCAAAACCTCGCTAGCCTAACCTTTAGCCAAATCATTCCAAGGTAGAAAAGAAATGGGCTGGCTTGGCTTGAATGAATGAAAAATGCCCGACGCACCACCAACCCTCCATTTTTACTCCGCCTCTTGCTAGTTTGCGTCATCGTCGCCTCCCGCCCTCCCCTCGCCTACGACTGTTACGATAACCTTAAGATCGACGAGATCTCCTGTCCCAATCGCCGGCGAATCATGTCCAAATCTCGCGTTTATCCTGACGTCAACGTCCTTCGTCCTAAGGAGTACTGGGATTACGAGTCCCTCACTGTTCAATGGGGGTAAATTTAAATTAATTCCTTGAAATTAATGTTGATCCTTGATTAGGTTTGTTCTTGATTTGTCTAATCAAAATCTAAACTAGGTTACATCAACTATTACGAATTCAAGATTCTGTAATTGGCTTCAATTAACGAGATCTTCCAATCTTACTAGCGGAACTTACTTAAGCATTTCTATAACTTTTTTAATATAATCCTGATGTTAAGTTTAACTGTTCGATTCAGTTCGTGATCGGCGTAAATTGATTTATTCGATCGTGTCTGTTTTAGTGATCAAGATGATTATGAGGTCGTTCGTAAAGTTGGAAGGGGAAAATACAGTGAGGTTTTCGAGGGCATAAATGTCAATAACAATGAGCGCTGTATAATCAAGATCCTCAAGCCTGTCAAGAAAAAGAAGGTTAGTACTTATTATTATCTGTCAGATTTGATTAATATTCGAGTAGATTTATATGAGATAGAATCTTAAGGCATATTTGCAATGATTATTATAAATGTAATCTTTATTATTATTATTATTGGCAGATTAAAAGAGAGATAAAAATCCTTCAGAATCTATGTGGTGGGCCAAATGTTGTTAAACTTCTTGATATTGTAAGAGATCAGCACTCCAAAACGCCTAGCTTGATATTTGAGTATGTCAACAGTACAGATTTCAAAGTTCTCTACCCTACTTTGACAGACTATGACATTCGCTACTACATATATGAACTTCTTAAGGTAATATTACGCCCCTCATTCAAACTTTCATATATAGAACTATGCTCCATCATCATATTTGTTTGGTGGTTGTTTCTAGTTTTAGTCATTACTTGATCGATTTCCAAAGATTTACTATCTTTTTTAAGCTTTTGGAGGATTTCTAGTTCGCCTGTTTGCATTATAGGATGATAGGAAAAGATTTCTTTGCTTTGTAGGCATTAGATTACTGCCATTCGCAAGGAATAATGCACAGAGATGTCAAGCCTCACAACGTCATGATAGACCATGAGCTGCGGAAACTTCGCTTGATAGATTGGGGACTTGCTGAATTTTACCATCCTGGCAAAGAGTATAATGTCCGTGTGGCTTCTAGGTAATGTTTTGAAGACTGCATGAATAATATGACTAATTTTCAAGACTGTTTTTCCTTCAAGACCTTAAAAGCAGACTGGGTTAAATATTAGTCCATATCTGAAAAAGAAAAAGAAAATTCTTTTGGGGTTAATTGCTTGTATGCCTGTTGTGCTTATTCCTTGAATTGGCTTTCCTCAAAAACTGAATTTGGTTGGTATTACAGGTATATAGATTCAAAAGTTATCATGAAACTCATTAAACAAGTCAAGCTAGGGGAAATTAGATAGGTACCACTTTTAATTTTCTTTTGAACTACTACTAACTGGACTCCTCCAAGAATACATCTGCCATTTCTTTTATTGTTTATAGACTCAGAGGATTAGTTTCCAAACCCAGGTTGTCAAAGATCTCAGATTCTTTGGATGATTTGGAATCTTAATAGCTCTGTGAATGTTTATTTCAGTTTACGGTGACATCTACAATCTGGATTCAGTTTTGGGAAATTTAATTTCTCAGGTACTTTAAAGGACCCGAGCTTCTGGTAGATTTACAGGACTATGATTACTCTTTGGACATGTGGAGCCTTGGTTGCATGTTTGCTGGAATGGTGAGAAATACCATTATTGTAGTTTAAATGTATTAAACTTTCATTTGAAAGATCAATTTTGGGTGTGTAATAGAATATTTATGTTGTTTGATTTGTTTGTTATACTTGTTTATTGTGTAGATATTCCGGAAGGAACCATTCTTCTATGGCCATGACAACCATGATCAATTAGTTAAAATTGCCAAGGTAATATGCTTCTGCAAATTGGTGAAATTTTTTATTATTGTTGCTGAAGATTAATTTTCTTATCATTTTTCTTGTTGAATTAACATTTTGGTTAGGATAATGCATCATTTTCTGATTGCTACTGGGATAATGTATTAGTCTATATCTTAGTACCTTATCCATCTCATGTTATCCATCTTTCTTTTATAATCTACATCTGGAGCAGCACTTTGTAAGCTTTTTATCTAAACCTGTTAGTGTTGTTTACCCTCTATTCTTTTTAGATGCTGCGATAACCTTGCAGGTTTTGATTTAAACATTAATTCCTATTCGTGACCATCAGTTGATAGGGGGATAGGTACCAGGGGCATCTTTGCATGCACTGTCAAACAAGAAGTTCTATTTTCACTTATTTTTTCGTCTTTTCCTACCAAAGTGTTGCCAGTTTTCATGGTTGCTACAAACCTTTTGACTGCTATTAATGTAACTTCAGGTGCTAGGAACTGATGAGTTAAATGCATATCTGAACAAGTACCATTTGGAGCTTGATCCTCAACTTGATGCTCTAGTTGGAAGGTACATTAAGCATGAACCTATGAAGCATTCAAGTTTGTACTTAATTATAAACAAATGCTCTGGTTTCATTAAACCATGGCAAAGCACCCCCATAGGTGCTGCAGTTCCACATACAGATGACATGCCTCTGATAGATATAGACATATTAATAGTGTGATATAGACATATTAATAGTATGGAATGGTTAACTCCGTTAATAAATTGATATGTTGTTTTTCAGGCACAGCCGCAAACCCTGGTCCAAATTTATTAATGCGGATAATCAGCATCTTGTTTCTCCTGAGGTCATTTTCTTCTTTAGGCAAACATCCATGAAACTGAATAATATAAGATACAGTGCACTAAATGCCTTGTAAGTGATATTCATTCTTTTAGTTCTTTGACTTTCAGGCGATTGATTTTCTTGATAAGTTGCTTCGGTACGATCATCAGGACAGGCTAACTGCAAGAGAAGCTATGGTAGGTCTATATAAGCTTACTATCGCTACTAGCTTTTCTTTTTCCTTTGGTTTAATTAAAAGTGGCTTATGATGCTCAGTTTCATTCTCCTATTTTTCTTATATGAATGAAATTTATAGGTCTGAAAATTTTGAAATGAACATTTTCATTTGTGCTGCTTGGAAACATCTTTATGTTCATATATAAATATGAAATGGATATCACGTAGTCTAGACTTATTCCTGATCTGAGATTTCATGCCTTCAATTGCTGACAAGGCCATTGCCTAAACCATTCTTGTATTATACCACTAAACATTCGCCCGTTGCTTGCAATGATGTCTTCCTCTGCAGGCCCATCCTTACTTTTCTCAAGTCAGGGCTGCAGAAAGTAGCAGGATGCGGACTCAGTAAGTCAAATTCACTTTGTGTTCATTTGAAAATCAGACCAGACTAGTTCGGGGAGATTTGTTGTGCTAAATGTTACATAAACTCCAGAATATTGTGTTTGCAATCGTGAGTATTTGTGTGTGAAATATATTTGCTATCATATTATTATTCGCCTAACTTATTTTGTTTGAGAGTATACAGTTTTTTCTCATACGTTTCAAAATGTTTTAACACCATGGAATTTCGGTTGCAAGCAGTAGATACAATTTGTCATTGTTAAATGAACAAGCATGCATGTACAATATGAAAACAAATTCCATGAAAGAAAATAGCACTTGAAGCCACTTTCATAAGAGAACATGTTAGTCATGTTAGTTTCAAGGCATTTGTCTTCCAACCATTAGCGAAAAAAATTCAACTATCAGACTTCATCTGATCTTTTCTAGTGTACGAAGCAATCTTCCCAACCAAATTCAGAAAAATCCCACACAATTCCAAGCTACAGAGATACAAAACATCTCAACTTTAATTTGAACTCTGAAGTGTCTTTACAAAGACCAAAAGGTTCTTCATATATCAGCTTTCAACAAATGGGAAACAAAAAAAATAAACCTTAGAAGATAAAGCAATTGCAATCCTCATAAAAATTAGCAAACAGCAATAAAACAAGACCAAAAAAAAAAAACAACATTAAAAGAACAAAAAGGAAGGTATTTAGTCATGATTAATAAATAAAACACCCAAATTACATGAATCGACATAGCTTTCTTGTTTGATTCTAGCTGGCTTCCTGAAAAAACATTGAAACAATCAGACATGATCAATACAAAGATCCAATTCACATGAAAAATAATAATAATGTATAGGATTAATATTAATAATTATATTATATTTATATTATTAATATAAAAAGATAATTTTATAATAATTATTAAATAAATATCATAATTAAATGTTTAAAATGATTTTTATATGATATTAAATAATTAATTAAGTATTATAATTTAAAAATTAAAATAATTTTTATATATTTATATTAAATTAAAATAAATATAAAAAATATATTAAACATATTAAATATATTCTCATATGATAATATTAAATTAAACATATTATTTATATTGTATCATATATTTAGATAAATTAATACATAAATAATATAAATTATATCGTATCAAAATTTATATCAATATAAATAAATATAATATATATAATTTTTTATATTATTTTTTTGGTATTTGAAATTATTAACTCTATATACCAATACGTTGCATCTTCGATGTTTGTCGAAATTCAACATATCTATCCGTGGACGAACTACCGCCATTGGACCATAGTCCATTGATCACACACGAAAATTTTGATGGAAAAACTTTGTTAAACAAACAACATGTACCACGAGAAATCCAGCTGGGAATATGGACTCTGGAGGTTTTAAAGCTATGATGTTTGACGTGACAACTCCTATTTTTAATCCCCAACTGCTCTTTTTGACTCAAGAGAGAAATGAACAACGACACTTTTTTTTTCTTTGGTAAGAACAACGAAACTTTTTGTATCATGCTTAGGTGTTACCACAACTGCGACCTTTATTATTATTATTATTATTATTATTACATCAGAGATCAAAGTCTAAGGAATATTGAGAAATGAAAATTTGGGTTAAGTGTTGAACATCAACACCTCACCTTGTAAGAATTTATTACTTTTAAAAAGAAAAGTGAATGAATATTTGATTTAAGCCCAAATTTCATGGCTGCTGGCTTTTCACAACCTGACTTGGGAAAGGTGACGGTGTGCTTGATTCAATTTTGCTTTCATTTATATAAATCACTTAATTATCTTTAAAAAATGCATAATTGACTTTTGTATTTATGAAAATATTATATAATATTTATGTAATAAATGTTAGTACATTATATTTAGAAAATTACTGATTTTTAATTAAATAAGATTTTACAAATTATAATCTACTTTTATTTTATAATCGCACAATTTGAAAAAAAAAAACAGAAGGAAAACAAAACAATAACAAATGCATAAAAAACATTTACCAAAAAGTTTAAATAATAAAAAATAAAAAAATAAAATTAACTCATTTATTATATATAATTATTTTTAAAAAATAATATATGATAAATTTAAATTTTAAATTTTAACACACACATACATATATATATATATATATATATATTTCACATGTTGCAGGTCGGACCTCATCCATGGCTAGCCATCTCATTTCCGTCCAACTAACCCTGACAGATAAGAAATTTATTTTCGTGCTAATTGATTCGCATTTACTAATTATAAACTGTATTGGAAAATAAAATTTAGAACTTAATTTAATTAAATTATATAATTATTTTTAAAAAATAATATTTAATAAATTTGATATTTAAATTTTAATGTATATAATTCTTTATTTGTACCTAAATTTATATTTGAATAATCAATCAACAAAGGAATTGAATACATTACAATATTAAAATGAGATTACGTGAGAATCTGATAATTTATGTCATCGTATCATGTAAAATATTTTATTTATATTATTTTTATATGAAAATCAATATCATAATTTATATCGATATAAAAATATAAAATATAATTTTTTATTTTATTAAATTTATTTATAATTTTTTTAAAATTTTAAACTATATATTTTCGTATTATTTATTTTTATTATTTTTATATCATATTATAGATATCTTGTTTTGAATTACTTTAGATATAAGTAAATTACCATAGATTCACTAAACAAAACATTGTGTGAAGCATGAAAATTAAATGTTGAAATGTTAGAATAAACCGTTGTTTAATAATTGTATGTATTATAGCAGAATTCTGCTTAGATTTGAATAAATAAAAATTACAATATATCCCAAATAAATAAAAAAATGCAGTAATCCCTGTTGAAAAAATTAGATTCAGTAGTGCATAACCCTCCACATCTATTTCCTTGAAAGTCATAAATATCTAGTGCAAATTAAATTCACCGAGCCATCAAAATTGACTTTGTATAAAGCAGTGACAGGCCATTTTCATCCCTCCGCTTGGTGGCAACGGATCGAACCTGATTTTGTTCCATCAAATTAATACTCTCCCGCAAAGTTGGTTGATGCACAAGGCAAAGTTTTTCTCTTTTCACCGTCTAACTTTCTGTTCCTATCACTCCAGATTGTCCATATTGTAATAATAAATTGCTGGAACTGTTGCTGGTCAAGGGAGTCCATCGTTTTCTTTGGTTTGGATTTATAATCAACTGAACGGTACCATTATTCGTTCAAAGCTTCATCAATAGACTAAACAATGTCATTGAAACTACGTTTGTCATGAACGGCCAAAGAAGAAAAAAAAAAGTACGCATGTCATGTACACTCATGCTTACGTGAAAGTAGCTATTTAAAGTTTTATTTGAATGCACAATAAAATTAATTATGAAAAAATTTAAAAAAAATAAAATTTATTATAATTGTAATTAAAAAATTTACTTTAGTTATAATTTAAAAAAATTTTAATAAAAAATTTATATTAATTTAATTTTATTAAAATTAACGTTCGAATATAACAAAAATATAATAAATTTAATTGTATCATATTAAAAGTACGATAAAATTTAAATAATTACTAAAATTTTATTTAAATTAATATGATACGATTGAAATAAAATATTTTTTGCTCAATTCACACCATTATAGATGCTTGGATAACAAAAGTCAGTGAAACAAATCGCATTGAAGCTCAAAATTTTGATCAGAGGACTCCCACCGCACTCTCCTTTTCCATTTTTGTCTTTGGATTTTTTTACTCTTAATATTATATTGTAGGATCAGAAACATTTTGATACTTAATTTTTTTTTTCATTTTAAAATTTTTATAAAATTTAATATAATAAATAAATTTAATAATTATATAATAAACTAATTAATAAACAAAAGATAAAATTTAAATAAGTACATAGAAAACTAATGCATTTTATAATCAAATAAATTATTAATAAATTAACAAAATTATTTTATTAATTTTTAATTGTTTATTTTATATAGTACTACATAAAAATAATCTGAAAATTTTATTATATATCAATTTTAATCTAATTTTTTTTCTTATTGTACTTTACCTCATTACTATAATTGCATTTATATTTAAATATATATTTTATTATTAATTTTAATTTTACTGTTATTATAATCAATTTCACATTTATTATTATTTTTAATTCCATTAAAAACAATTTTACTTACTGTCCAAATTTAACCTAACTCTTTTTTTTTCCTATCTTTTTTTTTTTCTTTTGCTAACCAGCGTCTTAAGAAAAGTTACTGGCCGCCAGGGACACCTATTTTTCTTTTTTTTTTTTTTTAATTCGGTAAGATTGACACTATTCTATGCCTAAAAATGTATTTAAATCACGATTTTAAATTAATTAGTCTCCAATCACACCGTCCAAACGGCTACACGTGAATCATGGGCCCACAATTTAAGATCCATTAATTTAATATTGTATGCAGTCCTCCTTTTAAATTTATTAAATATTATTTTAAAAAATAATTGTAAAAATAAATTATATTATTTTTATATTATTTTGTTACTATATTTATTTCGACGAAGGAAAGAAAAATAGACGGTTAGTTGGCGGGTAAACCTCCCTTCAACAATTACCAAACCTTGGCTTATATAATATTCTAACTTAAGACAAATACCCGTGAACCAAAAAAACAAAACATGTAATAATTCAACAATTTTTTTTTGGTCAGCCACGTAAAAACTGTCTGCATTAAACTATGCCAACATAAAAAAATATCTCAAGGAAAATACTAGTTTAATGAGTCATTTCATTGTTTAATTTTTTATAATTTTTTTTAATATAATATAAAATAAAATTTAATTATTCGAGTAATAAAAAATTTAATTTTATTTAAAATAAAATTTTAATTTCAAATTTTATGAATAAAAAAACACAAACTTAAAAAAGCTTACCTTCTTTTTAAGGTTCAACTCGATTCATTTTCAGATTAGTTAAGACTTAAAGTAATTATTAAAAACCGAAAAATCTTAAACAAAAATAATAATAATAATAGTGAGTTTTTTATCAGCTTGCTATCAAATATAAAATTTTATCTCTTGGTACCATTTGATTATAGTATCGATTATTACAGTATTCTAGACCATAATAATCTCGTCTCGAGATATTATATAGTTCAATTCATCAATTATTCATTTTTATATAAAATAATACATTCGTCCATACATTAAAAATATAAATAAATTTATTAATTATTACATTTAATATTATACTATTATTATAAATTATA